GAGAGAGAGAGAGAGTTTTTCCTTGGAGGTGCACATAATTGGGATAAGGCTTGGATGATGATGAGATGTACATGAAGAACCTCCCCTTTTTTCTAGAGAGAGATGTTAGGGTCTAGAGAGAGGGGATATGGTGAAATAGGGTGGATTTGAGATTGGGAATTTTTTGAGATTCAGGTTTCCGAGAAAGAGAAGAAGACATTGAGATTCGCCAGTTTTTGGGATTGAAAAAGAGAGAAATAGGATTTGAGAGAGAAGGGTGGAATCGGATTTTAGACAATAGACGAAATGAAAAGAATTTTAGAATGAAGGAGAGAAAACAAATATGGAGAAATAGGATTCACAAGATCTTTATCAGGAGTAAGAACATGTCAACCTTGGGATCGATATCTGCTATGATACCATACTTGGATTTTGTCAAGAAGAGTGAGACATTATGAATGGAGAATACGTCTCGTCCAACCACATTTGTGTGGACCCATTCTATATAGTATAGACACACACACACTCACTAGGGCTAAGAATATTTTACTCATACGCTTCATGTACAGGAGATATTACATTGAGTACACTGAAGGATTAATTGACATAAGAATAGAAAATTATTACAATTACACCCATAAACAATGCAAGTACAAAGTATCAATATTGTTGATATATACTACATGAATAGTACATTTTTTAGGTCATCCATTTATTTACTTAGGAAATCTATGGAAAAATCCTGTTTTATTTTAAAAATTACAAAATAGTTTTACAAAGTTTACATTTTATGTTCAAGTACCACTTTATGAGATTATGTAGTGTACTTTAATTTTATTTTATTTTTCTATACATTGGATCGAGCTCAAATTTGGGTAGTTAATATTACTCACCATCTCACATTTGTAAAAGATATCAAAAGAATATTTTTAAAAATAAAATTACCAAAATAGCCCTAAAATTATAAAATTTGTCAATGTATTTTGAATTTTTGATCATTTTTATTTAACTTAATTATATTTTTTAAATATTTTTACAAGTTTGTTATGGTGAGATGTATGGATGCCCAAAATTCGAGCATAATTGGATATAAATAAACAAATAAAATTAAAATACAATAACCACTATAAAACAGTTGGACTTTAGTGCAAAGTATAAAATATATGGGATTATTTTTAAGTTTTGAAAATAAAAAAAGATTTTCCTGTTAATTTCCCTACTCACGTTTATGTCAAATTAGTACAATCAAATATCCAATGAAGCATATGAATAGCTAGGCAGCTTATGACTTGTTTGCAAAAAAAATTAAGACCTCTCTCTCCCTCTCTCTCACACACACTCACACACACAGACATATTTATATGCCAGGTCACTATGTCACCTGGTCAGTTGGAGACCAATTAAGGTGTGCTGACTCAAGTCTGAAATCTGAGTTTTTGAACCATGCTATGAACCAAAAATCTTGTTGTTCTGTTTTTTTAACAAAAACCGTTTCACTAGCACAGAAGCTTACATGGTCAGCTTAGCCAAAAAACAAAAAAAAGTGTATATTGATAGATGAACAAACTTGTTGATTGCATTACAGTAAAAAACATTTCAAGTTTGCATGTATGGGTGGACAAACTTTATCATGAATAATAAACATTCATCATTCAATAAACAAATCACAGATGCGCCAAACTTTTCTCTTGTCATTACTATGGAGTTAACGTCACTTCTAAATATTTCCAGCATCTGGGTTAGCTTTTGATAAAGAACTCCATCACATGCTCTCTGGCCTCACATGTCTGCTCAGAAGTATAAATACCCAATTACTTTTCTTGATCTTTGATCATAATATAATTACATAGGCATTGACTGAGCAATATGTAATTTAAATGGGAAAATTCAACTTACAGGTATAAAAGGATCATTAAATGGATCCCAGATATCTGGATCTATCCCATTAAGAATACCATGAAACTTGTGGAGGTGAGGGGCAATGGCAGGATTCATTGAAACTTCTTTTGAGTACGTAAACGAAACCTGCATAAAATACAAACAGAAATTTCAGAGATGAACTGGATACTACTGCAAGGATTTACACCCCTTGTACAAGGATTATGGCATAAGAAAATACTATAAGTTAACTAAATTTACAATGACAGTCGAGAAAGTTAATCTTTGATTAATTCTTTAGAGTTGGCATTTGTTACCTTCGAACAACTCCGGTTAGGAGGGTGATTTGGTTCAAGTGGAAGATTCTAAAAAGGCAAGGGGAAAGCCCCAAAAACATGGATGGAAGTAGTGAGAAAAGGTATAGTGACTTATGATTGGGAGTATGGCCCTTGATAGAGCAAAATGATAGAATAGGATTTGTGTAATCGATGATGATAAGGATTTGTAGGATTCGTTTGATCCCAAATAGTTAGAATAAGGCTTGTATGATGATAATGATGTTGATGATATTGATTTATTAGCTTAGAGAAAACATTGAAAAAGGACACAAATACTTGTAAAAGATATAGGACAACAATATTCCTGAGAAAGAGAGCAGACAAACACGGGAGGGATATATCAGGGCAAAACACTCCTGTAAGAACAATGAATAAACCACTTTGACTTCTCAAATTACAAGAAATATTTTGTGTTTGTCAATCTGTGTTAAAATGCATATTAGACTTGTATTTAGCCTATGTAATTCGAGTCAACTAGTTTTAGGGTAATTTTGTCGGTTTATTTCATGGAGCTTTTATTTGTACTTTGTATAATACGGTATAAATCTTGATTCTAATCATTGAGAAAAAGATTAACTATTTCTCTGCGTCCAAATCTGACATTTATTCTGTCTAGTTCTAACGTAATATCATAGCTAGTTCTAAAACTATAATCCATTATGTGGAGTTTCTTAAGTTTTTTAGTAACATTTCTAACAAAAACATAGTAACTGGATTCTCTCACCCAAGGTGGCACCCTTGCCAATTCATGTGCTTCTGTGCTTCTTGCCTCTAAAAACCTTGCTCCCAGAGTTATTGACTCAGGAGCCTCTGGTGAGTCCTCTATTTTTGTATCTCTAAAAATGCCTATTCCTAACTCCTCTGTCACCTTGGCTGATGGATCGATGTCCAATGCGTCAGGGGCAAGGTACAAAAATGCCTACTTCATCCCTTTCTTTGTCATCTGTACTATCATTCTCTGAGGAAATTAACCAAATTTTTTCATTGCATTGTAAACTTTCATCCTTCTTTTATGTCTTTCAGAATATAAAGATGAAGAGGAGCATTGGTGGCGGGTATGAGTAAGGAGGCTTGTACTACTTGGATCATAACCTGATTGGTGCTGCTCTTCTCTTAGCTAATTCTCCTCTATTATGGAATTGTCGTTGGGTCATCCTTCTCTCAATAACTTGAAGTTATTAGCCCGTTCTTTAGAGTCTGTTTCGGCTTTAAGAGTGTGAAGCTTGCCAGTTAGGAAAGCATCATAGGGTGTCATTTCGTCCTAGAGTTGACAAAAGGAGACGTTCTGTTTATAACGGCTCATTTTGATACATAGGGCCAGCTAGGGTAATCATAAATATTTTACAATTTTCATGGATGATTATTTACGAATGACATGGTTATATTTAATAAAAGACAGATCTCAGATTTTTTCCATTTTTTAATTGTTTCACAAAGAGATCCAATCTCAATTCAATAATACTTTTGAAGAAGTCTCAAAGTCCTAGCCTTTCATGATTCTTCTTCCTGTTCCTCTTGATATTTCTTCTTCACCCTAGTTACCTTACTCCACAAAATCTAGTACATCTACAAGTCATGATGTTTCTTAAGAGCAGCCTATAAAGGTTTCCCCATAAGAAAAGTGCAGGAAGGACATCCCCCACCAACTCAACCAACCACTCAATCACCATCTTCATCTACTGATCTAGTTCCGTCTTCTTAATGATGTACCTATTGCCATTTGTAAAGGTATTAAGTCTTGTTCTCAACATTTGATTGCACATTCTGTTACCTTTAAAAATTTGTCTCCATCATATCAAAGTTCTGCTTTAGCTCTTTCATCTATTTTTGTTCCTAAGACCCATCAAGAAGCACTTTCTCATATTAGAAAGATAGCAATGGAGGAGGAGATGGATGCAATTCATTCAAATGATACATGGAAACTCATTTACCAAATGGAAAAATGGCTGTTGGGTGTTGATGGATTTATGCAGTCAAATATCAACCTGATGACACTGTAGAAAGATTAAAAGCCAGATTGGTAGCCAAGGGATACACACAAACTTTGGCATTGACAACTCTGAAACATTTGCTCTTGTTGCTAAACTTAATTCAGTAGAGTGGTTATATCTTTGGCTGCCAACAAGGGATGGCGTTGTGGCAGCTTGATGCTAAGAATGCTTTCCTCCATGCTGATTTACAAGAGGAATACATAGAGTAACCACCTGGGTTTGTTGCTCAGGGGGAGTCGGATAAAGTGTGTAAGCATGACATTTATGGCTTGAAACAATCCCCAGGTGTGTTGTTTGAAAAATTCAGAAAAATTGTTATAACAAATGGATTTCGACATAGTCATGTATATCATTCAGTATTTATTCAAAAATAAGACTCTAGAATAATTGTTTTAATTATCTATATTGATGAGATTGTTGTTACATGCAATGATCAAGAAGAAGAAAATCATTTCAAGAGACAAATAAAACAATACGTTCAGACGAAGGATTTAGGACAATGCGATATTTTCTATGAATTGAATTGGCCAGATCAAAGTATGATACAAGTTTATTTCAAAGAAAATACACGACTGATTTGTTGATGAGAAATTGGAATGTTGGGTGCTAGACAAGTGGATACGCCTATGGATTCAAATGCAAAAGTATTGGCTGATCAGGGGGATTTGTTTGAGGATCTGGAAAGGTAGATAAGGCTGGTAGGCATGCTGATTTATTTGACCATAACCAGGCCCAATATTGCTTTTTTGGTAAGTGTTGTGAGTTGGTTTATGCATGCTCCGAGGATTCCTCACCGGATGCCATTTGCAGAATTTTAGGGTATTTGAAGGGATCCCCAGGTTGAGGCTTGATTTACAAGCCAAATAATCATTTAGCCATTGAAAGTTTCTTACTTATTGATTTGGCAGGTTCACCAGCTGATAGGCGGTCTACCACATGTTATTGTACATTTTTTATGGAAACTTGTAACATGGAGAAGCAAGAAAGAAAATCTTGTAGCTAGATCTAGTGCAGAGGCTCAATATAAAGTAACGACACATACTATATGTGAATTGATGTGGCTGAAAACATTGATGCAAGAGTTGGGGTTTACTGTTCTTGAACCTATGAAGATGCATTGCGATAATAAAGCTGCCCCTTATATAGCCTGTAACCTAGTGTTTCATGAAAGGACCAAGCATATTGACGTAGACTGTCATTTTATCCAAAAAAAAGTTGCTAGTAAGCAGATGTCTACTCCATATGTGAAATCAACTGATCAACTACATGTCTTCACCGAAGGCCTTGGTCGTAAAATGTTCCAAACTATTTGTTCCTAGTTGGGCATCAAAGACATAATTGCTCTAGCTTGAGGGGGAATGTTCAAAGTTCTTTGTTAATTAAGTTGTAGGACCTAAGTGTCCTTCGTAATTTGTATGGGCAGTGTGTTTTGTCCCTTCATATTTTAACAATATCATATATGATTTTAAGAGGTGCGTGAGGGGCAAATAGACCACATGGCACTCTCTTCCCTCTCTCATATCTCTCTCTTCTTTCTCTCTCACATGTCTCTCTCCTCTCTCATCTCTCTTCTTCTTTCGTTTTTCTCTCCCCCAAGTTTTGTGACACAAATCAAGTATTTTTACTTTGTTGATTCAGTCTAGATCATCGGTAAACTGCAAATCTAGTATTAAAGCTACTCGGCCTTGATTCCAATACCTATGGCGAACCGTGATTAAGACCACTCAATGCTCAATTTCAATAACAAGGGAACCCATGTTCAAGCTTTAGGACTGTCGAAGATCTCAATTCCAATACTAGGTGAACCATGGCTAAGCATACTCAATACATCGATTCCAATACTAAGGGATTCTTATTTAAGCTACTCTAGAACCTTGAGCCTTTTTCCCTATTAAACTCATTTCCTGATGATTTCTATTGCTGTTCTAAGTTGTTGGGTGAGTGATCCCAAGGACATTGTTATCATGCAAGGAGATCTTCGTGGCCTCCTATATGCGTATGTAGGCTTGTGAGAGTGGGGGGCCAAATCCTTAACAAACTTCTGCACGACACGTACATATGATAGCTGTATTTCTGGGAAGCAACCTTCTGAGGAATATATGTTCATGTGTATAGAGAGTTCCCCCAGTACTATAGTGATATGTGCATGTGACTTGCTATTTGGGGTGGGGGGGGGGGCTGTAATCTACATACTAAGACTACGGTTCCACTGTTTATTGGCCAACATTAGCCCTACTGCCTTCTTTACAATCAGAGTCGTCTTTAGATGTTTTAAGTATACCATTCAACATAATGTTTTGTTTTCATCTATTTAGGTATGTCATGCATGGACTTACTATGCATCACTGTACTGCGAAGTACACACTGCTTCCACTATTGAAGCCCAATGGGATAGCCAGTTGTTGGTTTTCTCTAGGGAAAGCAAAACTAAACATCAAAACTAATGCTGTTAGATTCACTTCACTTCAGCCAAAGAGGCTTCACAGCCTCCACACCGAAGCAGGTCTGGCTTTGATTGCTTTGAGCTGATTTCGGCCTCCTTAGCCCAAATTCTTTGACCATTGGGCTGCCTCAGCCAAAAACCTATTTCACATTCAAAATTTCGAAGCCTTCTATATATATATTTTTAAAATAACCAAAAACCTCTCCCAAATTGCCCAAACACTGTGGTTCTCTTCCCCAGCCAAACTAAGAGGTCTCCGAGTTGAATTTAACAACATTGATCCAAATTATTCAACTAAACACATCAGGAGCATAATAGGAAAATTGCTTCTTCCATTGAATTGGATTGATAGAAAGTATGTCAATAAAGAATTGAACTTCATAGCAAATGAGAAGAGCAACAAATGCCAAATGTAAGTTAACAACTGAACATGGAAGTAAGGAACAAAACCAAATGATTCGACATATAGTTCCTGAAGGATAACTAAAGTGCCCACCGTTGTAGCCTTATCTGCATATGCCATCGCTTTGCTGATCAAATTGGTGCCAAACTCAAGGTTATGAATTGTGAAAACAACTCGTGCATTGCTGAGACCATAATGCTTGTAATTGTCCTTAATTAACCATGAAACAGGTGCACTTGACCAGTCGTGGCAATGTACAATATCCTATGCAGTTGGAAATAAAACCACTCATTAGAACAATCCAACAAACCTTACAAAAGGAGATATATATGAAAAAATACAAATGTTTATAACTGTTATGAGCCTAGGAGCTAATAAAGAGGATAAAGAGGACTCATCGATAGCAGATTTCCTCACACACAGTTTGTCCAGGAGGTAGTATGTCCACGGCAAATAATTTAAACTCACCAGAAACAAATTAATGACTTCAGAACACCGGAAGCACCCATCTCTATAATGTATTACAAACTTGGCCAAGTAATCCATTATGAATCTGTTTCTGTCTCTCTCTACTTTGAAGTTTGAACCAAGATTGGATTCTAGAAGAAGACCACTAAACGCAACTCCTCCTAAGCATGATTAGGAGGCACATGGCATTCTAGAAAGCGTAATAGCTGGTGCAGTGATTTAAAACTTGCTGTGTCCAACTCGGACCCAGCCGAGTCAACCAGAAACCAGTTCCAAGGGAAGCCAACATGCTGGGGGCCTACTAGTGACTAAACAGGCAGAATCCTAACAGTAAGTTCGCTTTTTGTCTGACTAAGGTGACCGTAGGAATTGCCGAGTTCGACACATTGTCAGAAATTAAAAGGGCATGGAATTTGACCCACACCCCTTTCTTGCTATTTCTTCACAAACCAACCCACAAAAACCGTGAAGATTTGTATGTAGGCCTAAATTTTGTGCCCTCTATAGAATCCAAACCTTTGGTTCAACAGAAAAACAATAAAAATCTCAGATTTGTGAGATTTGGAATATCACATCAGGGTCTATCTGGGAACCTCAAGAACTTTGGATCAATAGATCAAAACTCCAAAACAAACTTGGGGGTTTTGATTTGGAACATTTGAAGATCTATTCAGAAAAATTGGGGGCCTTGATTTGCATTGGAAGCACCTTTGGGAGGATCACCTCTGAAAATTAAAGTAATTGAAATCGGTTTTGTTTTTCAATTTAAATTCATATGGATGATTGTTTTTCTTGGAGAGAGATCACTAGATCTAGCTATATTTTCTAAAAGAGTGCGTTGCCAGAGGAGCTCAAAAGAGAGATCAAGATTGTGCTTTTATAAAATAGAACTTCACTACAAAAAAACATGTTAAGTGCTTGTTAATTAGTTTATTGAAGTAGACAAGGTACACAAGCAAATAGTGGGAAACCATAACCAACTATTCAAGTGACCACTGAAGGATGTGATGAACACAACACCCTTGTAGTCAAGCCTCTCCCAAGCACAGCACAATGAAGTAATGGTTTATTTTTTTTTGTTTTTTAGATAAAAGCAAATCTATCTCTTAATTTGAATAGTATTCCTTCCAAGCATTGCCTTATCCAGTTTCAAGTTAGACCTTTAGGATAAATGAGAAATTTGTGAGGTGAGAGAGATTTAATTAGAGCCATCCATCCCCAAAATCAGTCATCATGATTTTGTGTGAAAAAAATAAGAACCTTATCCCCTTACACTTTGACTCAAGTCCAACTCTCATTTAAATTTGAAATATAATCAAATTTAAACTTTATCTAGATCTCCTATTTAAATTTAAAATACAATCAAACTTAAAGATTATCTAGGTCTCTAGATTTCCCATAAAGATAGGAAACCAAATCTAATTAGAATAAGATTACTTAACTTAATTTAAAATTTGAACTATAAAAATAATGAAGTGGGGCGTGCCCCATTTTCTTGTTTTTAAAAACAAGGCATGGCCCTTTTTGTTTTAAGTTTTTTTTTTGGGCATGCCACCTCTTTAGTTAAAAAGTGGCATGCCCAAAACAAATTTTAAACAAAAAATATGGCGTGGTACTTACCCAAAAAAAAAAGAAAAAAGGGTGTCGTCCCTAGGGTGCACGTGATCCGCACTTTTAAAAAACGACACATATGTGAGGCTGGATCCTTGGTCCTACATGTGTTATTTTAAGTTCTAAAATTTCAGAAATACCCTTTTAATGAAAATTACAGTAGAAATAATATTTTTAAATTCTAAAAATATTTAAAAAATCATAGAAACATTTATAATACCAAAATAAAATATACTAAGAGTGGATTGGTACCGATATGTCAAAAATGACACTAAAGGAATACTAAGAGTGGACTGGTACCAATGGATCAAAAAAAGCAACACTAAGAGCACTCAACTCGCCCCAGAAGTCATGATCTTTGGGCATATCTCCGACCTCAACAAGGGATGATCCACTGGAAACCCTTCTCGGTTGTGCCACCTGCCCAAGGATATGGGTTTTAAACATGACCAGAGCCAAACAGACCAACCCTTGGTCAGTCAACATATGCTCTCACTGAAGTGTATATTCCACTATAAATATCATTTTTACAAGCTCTCTAGGCCTTTAAAGGCCACAAAACACAACAAGGGCCACTTCTCTTTCGTGGTTCATAATTCGACGAAACCCCATTTTCTACATCTAAATCAACAAGTTTAAATGGGAAATTTTGGCGAAAATATTATTTTTGCTGAAATTTCGTGTATAAACAAGGATAAAGCATTAGAGATGAATGCTGACACAATTTACCATGAATTTGCAAGAAATAATTAACAAATTTTTATATGAAAGGGGGTCTCAATAAAAGTAGGGGCTATTATGAGAAAAATAAAACAAGAACACTAAAAAAGTAGTCAATGATATATAAAACGATGAATTTGAGAAAATGAATTATTTCTTATTGAATGTAGAATAGAACCACATCAAATATTTCTAAGGTGGATAAATTTTATGTAAAATTGACATAGCAAAGTTATAAATTTCGTACTAAAAACTTAACAAAGAATTATTGGAAAGGGGCTCTCAATGCAGCTAGGGGCCATTGTGAGAAAAATAAAACAAGAAGACCAAATAAGTATTCAACTATTTATAAAACACCGAAATGTAAAATGGTTTTTTGAGAAAACGAATTGTTTAATATTGAATGTAGAATAGAAACACATCAAAATTTCTGCAGTGGATACATTTCACATGACATTGACATAGCAAAATGAAGCATAAATATTTACAGGCTGAAAGTCACTCTGAACTAGAAATTCAAGTGCCGCATGGCAGAAGAAGGCAAATCTGTCACCATCAGTCCTACATCCATAGATACAACCAGCCCAGAACATTCTGCATCAAAACAAATGAAAATTAGTCAAGACATGATGTATTCATTCGAAATAAAGTGCCACTGTGCGATGACAACCACAACAAATAGGAACAATTAATACATGGTTTTTTAAAACAAAGTGGAGGAACAATAATAGCATATATTGTTCAATACAAGAGATTTAGGAGAATTATGAGATAGATAAATCAATTGCAAAGAATATGGAGTAGCTAAAACAACAAATTAAAAGTACATAAACAATGAACGAGTGATATTAATTAATTAGCAGAGTGTCAAAAAGTGCTAGGCGGCATCCAAGCGGCCATGGGGGTCCAGGCCGCCCAACGCCTAGGTGGGAGCCCAGAACCTGGGCGGCCCAGTTGAAAAAAGAAAGAAAAGATAGTCTGATTTTGATAATCCATAAGAATTTTGATAATCCATAAGACTATAATCCATAAGAATTTTGATAATCCATAGGACCATAATCTCAGTTGAAAAAAAAGAAGACAGAAGTTGAGAAGAGAATTTTGATAATCCATAAGACCATAATCCATATTTTCATACAATGCTAAAACAGTAAAACCATACAAGCATACACTGATAGTTTGATACGCTGTAGACTGTACACACAAAAGTTACATAGTAGAACTAGAAACTAGAAAGTAGAAACTAAAAATAAGAAAAAAAAAATACAAAGAAATTTAGAAAAATACAGTCTAGGACACAATGGTCAACACTCAACAGTCAACAAACAACACCAAGAGTCTTTACTCGTCATCATCATCATCATCATCAGAAGGAATAGGGTAAGCCTTATCATATGCATCAGATTCGAAGCCATCATCAACAGAGCCATCTCCCTCTTCAATATAACTCTCGTCTTCCTCTATTTCTTCTGAATCTGCTTCTTCCTCCTCGTCTTCTTCAACCTCCCTCTTACTAGTATGTGCAGATGGGGCCCTAGGAGTCTTGGTTGCTCTACCCTTTTCTATCTTTTTGTGCTTCCTCCTTGGTAGCCACAGGAACATTTTTACACCGGGCAACATCCCCCTTAATACCGGCTAGGTGTTTTTTTAAACTAGTAAATGCCCCCATTAGTATTCCACAATAATTACATTTAACACGATTTTTGTCATTTGGATTCGAGTTATAACCATACTTCCAACCCGGATCACCACTCTAGAAGAACCTGGAGAAGATATTTCCATAGAGCAAGGCTCATTTTCATCATTTTCTGGTTCTTTTAAATCCAAAAATTGTCTAATATCATCTCGAAGAGCTTCAAGAACTTTTTTACAAGAAGCAACATTCCCTTTAATACCAGCAAGGTGTTTTTTGAATCGGTTAATACCTCCGTTGGTATCTTTTTCACAAAAAATACACATTATACAATTTTTATCGTTTGATTTTGGGTTATAACCATACTTCCAATCCGGATCACTTCTTCTAGAAGAAACAGAAATAGGTCTATTCAAATGACAAGGATTTTGTTCCTGCTTTTGTTTTACAGAACTCATGTATTGCTTAATCTCCTCTGTGATAGCTTCAGGAACATTTTTACAAGGGGCAACATCCCCTTTAATACAGGTAAGATGTTTCTTAAATCGTTTATGCCCCCTTTTGTATCTTTTCACAATAATTGCATCTAATGCAATTTTTGTCATTTCGATTCGGGTTATATCCATATTTCCAACTTGGATCTCCACTTTGACTAGATCTTGAAGAAAACATTTCAAAATAAAGCAAGCAATCTAAAAAATAAAGTTTTGCACTTACTTTGATTGCTCAAACTCTAAATTCCCACCTCTGAGATGTTTTCAGGTGCTAAACTAATAAAAAACACCCTGTAATAGGATTATAAAACTCCAAAACTAAATCTAATTTACCTGGATGACGTTTGGATCCGTTTTTCGTAACTTTGAGAAACACTTCGATCCAATAAAAATCACAAAATTTAGTTTATTTGAAGTTTTTTTCTCTCTAAAATGGGTTCTTTTGGGTTTAGGTTTCAAATGAACCTAAAACCCATCCATAAAATCCTTTATATTGCCAAAAAAAGCAGTAGAACAAAAAAAATAAAATTTCCGCCCCTAAGCGGGCGCATGCCCTGGGCGGTTGCTCGGGGCTGGGCGCCCGCTTAGGTAGGTTCCGGATCGCCTAGGCGGCCGCCCAGGGACTGCCGCCCAGTTTGACTACCTAGGCTTGGGCGATGCGCCCAAGCTTTCTAGACCTCCTAGGTGGCTGCCTAGGCGTTGGGCGGTCCGCTTTTTTTAACATTGTTAATTACTAACAAAGAAATAGTAAATAAAAGTTGAACAACTGACTCAAAATAGTTGGAATAAGGCTCAGATGATAATGATGATAACTTAACAAAAGTTAAATGAATTAGAATAGAGCGAGCTAAACAAAGAAACCACCAACAATATCCTATGACACTAGTTAGGGTGGCAATGTGCCATCCAGCAAAGGTAAGCCTGGCTAGTGTGGCCGTAGATAGCTAGGCCTGAGCCTCTACTTTTGGTGACTAGGACTTGGCCAAAGGCCCTAGCCTGGCCCAACCAGGCCTGACCTAATTCTCTCTCTCTAAGTATTTGTTGAATAAAATAGATGTGAAAATATGTGTTAAAAAAAAACGTTGAGAAGTTATGGCCCAAAGTTTGAACTTGAAACTTTCGTAGTGGAATAGCAATGTCTACCACTATAAAGCTCATGTGTACATGTACAAAACAGGAGAAGACACAAACAACGCTCATGTGTACATGTAGAAAACAAGCAGTCACACTTAAAGCTCATGTATACAAGTAGAAAACAAGCGAAGTCACACACATACACACACACGCAGAGGCAGGCAAACATAATAACAAGTACACACATAGCTACACTATGGAGCAATATGTCATATTCACTTCGCTTCAGCCAAAGAGATAGAACACTTTGGGATTTCTGGCTTGGCCGAAGAGAAATGTAAGATACCTCTTTTGAGAATAGTTGAAAAAAATTGTATGCTCTAAAGGGTATATGGTCCACCGCATAAAACTTTATCTAAAAGCATACTTAGGACCCCATAGTTTGATGATGCAACCTCAACCTACCAACCGACTTTGAAAAAAATTATAAACATATATATGCTCCTAAGGAAAATGATCACCTACGATTGAATGGTGACCATCTAACTTTTGGATTGTCAAATCTAGGTTTTTAGTAAAATCTTAATTGTTTGTCCTTTGAAAAAACTCATCTAGTTATTTTAAAATGCATCCCAAAAATTTAGATCCTAAAAGTACTCGTAAAGTTTTCTTTTACCCCGAGGAAGAAAGTGCATGGTATGGTCCCCTAGGAGCGCATTTGGAGCAACATGCATATTCTTATTGACTTGTGGCATAGCTCCTAAGAATCAATTGGAGCACTGTTACATTCTAACTACAAGAGAGATGCTAACTCAAAATCTATGACATTAAGATATTATATTCTTAACACATTAATATTTATATACCCTCATGTATCTATATTATTAAAATCTTTAAATATTTATATATGTTATCGGAGTAAAATATATAGGACTTAGGCATATTTTTAATTCTTGGAGATCACATTTTAATGAAAGTTAAAGATAATTTATCCCTCTATTAAACAAGGAATAGGAATTTTGAATATTTATATTTGAAAAAAATAAACAGTAGTTTTTAATATAAGTTTAGTGGATGATGAATCAAATTTCATGAATTTTGTCAAAGCTCATATGCTATTTCCCTTAATTTTTTATTATTCTATACATAATTAGAAATTATTAATATTTAAAACAAAGCCTTCCCCTAATAGATCAAAACACCAAAGTGTTTCCTTTTTCTGACCAAATTGAAGAAGCCTCTGAAGAAAAACTGAAAACATTACTGTGGATATTGCCGGGCATTGTGAGAATTATGTAATTTTATCATATAAATTATTATTTAATATAAAACAATTTTCATCTAGATGTGTCTTGCCAAAGCACTAGACATGCTAGATGTGTTTGGACTATAGTTAAGCAAATCGTGTACTTAGGTCGTGATTTTGGAATCACGATTCCATGGTTCAAGGACAAACACGAATCCGGAAGATCGGCATCATGGTTCCGAGTTTCTTGAAACACGTTCTAGATTATTATTTGAATCTTGGAATCTAGATTCCATATCGCAGAATTTGCGATTCATAGTTGCACAACAATGCAATCAACAAGTCCTAGATGTTGAGTCCAATTTTTTTGGAATCTCGAATCCATGTTGTTTGGAAGCTAGAACCATATTGTCAAAAGACATGGTTCGTAGATGCACTGAACAAAATTTAAAAACATTGAATCAAGTTCTAATGGCATGGAACCAAGATTCAATTGCAAATGTTGAACAAAATACGTGCACAAATTGTACGTCGCCGGAGGAGCTCCAGGAATCCATTCTATGTTCTCGAGGGAGTTCCAAGAACCCTTCCATATCATATTACATTTTTGTACAAGGTTAAATACCCATGAATTTGGGTTTTGGGACTGTGATGCTGTGAGACCCAAAAGGCCTTAACAAACTTTTGGGATGAATCCATGTACAATAATGTCTACCAAGTTACCCAACAAATTTATCAATCTATAAATCATGTAGTTGGTGGCACCCCACCTCAAGGTACGACATTTGGGTGGCGGCCAAAACGCATGGAAGTGCCGACAAAGATATCGATCCACATAATATGGTTGCCCTTGGCAATTGTATTAAAAATATGGACTCCAGATTTCAAGCTTGTAAAAAAGGTCAAAAATTAAATCTTTTCTTGCAAAACACTTCTCTCATATATCAGAGGAGATTGATGCGTGATTTCCGAATTGTGGGAATTTAGAATCCAAATCGATAGGACAACGATTCCAATAATGTAGGAGTCGAGATTCCTATTTCATAGGATCGCTATTTCGGAAGCGATTGAATGGTGTCGGGTCATATGCAATTCTTAAAAGATAGGAAACTCGATTCCAACAAGATGGGATACTGATTCCTACAAA